TACGCTGCACGGATGAACCAAGTGATCACAACATTGATCACACACGTCAAAGGTTGAGGAATGAAACAGACGAATCATTGTAATTTAGGAATAGAATCACGTTGGTGTTTGAATCGTGTTCGCGCTCTTTAACGATCTAATAAATTAAAGTGCTTTGTCATGTTGGTGGTGACACCTCTCTCGCAACATGTTTAGCTATCACAGATATTATACTTAGCTTTTTTGGCTTCTGATCGCAAATGTAGCCAAACTTTGGCCAAACTTTGGAGCGCTTAGATTAGTGAGCAAGGTCCTGGCAGATCGCTAGGTCCGGTCCTCACAGATGAAGAAAAAAAAAAAAAGAAAAGCGCTTAGGAATCGATAGGCGAAAATAGATAGAAATTTTAATTTGACAGCAAGTATCCGATTCCTGATCTTAAAGGGTTACTCCACCCCAAAATGAAAATTTTGTCATTAATCACTTACCCCCATGTCGTTCCAAACCCGTAAAAGCTTCGTTCGTCTTCGGAACACAATTTAAGATATTTTGGATGAAAACCGGGAGGCTTGTGACTGTCCCATTGCCTGCCAAGTAAATTACACTCTCAAGGCCCAGAAAAGTATGAAAGACATGTTTGCGTTCAGTGGATACTCTCCAAAATGGCGCTATGGTGACGCGGAGGAGACGAATTGTTGAATAAAGTCATTATTTTTGTTTTCTTCACATACAAAAAGTATTCTCGTCACTTCATAACGTTACGGTTGAACCACTGATGGCAGATGGACTATTCTGCAACAATTCGTCTCCTCTGTGTCTCCGCATCACCGTAGCGCCATTTTGGAGAATATGCGCTGAACGCAAACTGCGTACGCTCTTCTGTATCAACCGCGACACAAGGATACGCTGTTTTAGTTCAAATCAAAGCGTAAATAAACGTGTGGTGCGGCTGACACAGACAAGTAGAACAGTATACGCAGTTTACATTCAGTGGATACTCTCCAAAATGGCGCTACGGTGATGCGGAGACACAGAGGAGACGAATTGTTGAATAAAGTCGTTATTTTTGTTTTCTTTGCGTACAAAAAGTATTCTCGTCGCTTCATGAAATTCAGATTGAACCACTGATGGCAGATGGACTATTCTGACGATGTCTTTCATACTTTTCTGGACCTTGACAGTGTAATTTACTTGGCAGGCAATGGGACAGTCACAAGCCTCCCGGTTTTCATCCAAAATATCTTAAATTGTGTTCCGAAGACGAACGAAGCTTTTACGGGTTTGGAACGACATGGGGGTAAGTGATTAATGACAAAATTTTCATTTTGGGGTGGAGTAACCCTTTAAGTCTCAGATTCTGGAATCGGAATCGATTTTCGATTCCCAACCCTAGTCTGAAATGCATAACTTTACTGCATACCGTTTCACATACTGGTTTTTAAAATATTTTCATATTTTTTTATATCTTTACATATACTGCAGTATTGCTAGTATCTTATTCCAAACATAACCTGAGACTAGATTTTTATTTTATTTTATTACAGTTATTGAGAATTTTTCAAATTGACTTTATCATTGATACTATTAAAAATAATAATAATTGTATTTATTGTAAGAATAAAACTTTATGTATGTATTATTTATGTATTTATTTATTGTTTTTGTTATTTCATTTTGTTTTATCTTTTGTTATTATTGTTTATTATTTTATAATTATTGGCCTTATTTTTATAATATAAAATATTTTTTTATTTGTATATTTATTTATTAAATTGTTTTACCATTACTTGCCTTATTTTGTTTTATTTTTGTCATGTTTCTTACATTTTTTTTTTTTTCATTTCTTTTGTTGTGTGCATTGATGGCTTGGCATTGTACTTTGAAATTGAGTAGATACAAATGTGTTTGCAAGTGCTTTGTTGTTAGCTAGTTTGTGACCAAGAGTGATGTTCACACTTTTCTGTTTTCCTGTATTTCTGTGTACAAGAACGAGGTGTCTCATCTGCGAAACGAAGTTGCTCATCTGAAGCAGTTGCTGTTAGCCCACAAAGACTGTCCCGTCACCAACCTCCAAAAGAAAGCCGTCTACTTGGGTGAGTGGAGCTCACATTGAGGTCTTTGACCTGCATCTGCGGGATCTAACCTTCATTTATTGATGTCCCTCAGGAGAGGAGCATATGAAAGAGACGTCTGAGCCCACAGGCTCCCCGGCACCGGTCATTCAGCACAGCTCTCTGGCCCCCAGCCCCTCGTCCGCGGTAGGCCCCAACGGCCTGAACTCCCGCGCCGCAGCCGAGGCGGTGGCCATGTCAGTGCTGGCGGGGATGGGCAGCCAGCGAGGGGAGAGCGGCGGGCCATCGCACATCATCATGGCCACACAGTCCCACCCATCCAACAGATGATGAGAGCAGGTAACAGTCTGCCTGGGACTCTCCGCATCCCGGGAGAGAGGGGCAGATCTGCGAGAGGAGAATGCTGGTTCCCTCTCACGCCATCACGCTCAGGCCTGGAGCTCAGCTGCATTCTGGGAATGAAACTGGGACTATGTACACATATAGAGAGAGACCGAAGGAGATTGTCGTTCACTATGCCATAGACTAAGGGGGCTGGACTCCAAACCATGCTCTCATTTGCATTCTCTGTAACTCCTGCTACTTCCTTCAACTTCCTCCTGCTCCTCCACTGGCTATAGGGCTGCAAAGCACTTCCTGTCATTAAACGTATTCCCACAGACACACGCTGCAATAAAGACATTGTTTGTTTGAACCGTGACTCGGTGTATGTCACACATGCAGGCTGCGTCTCAGAGTTGCAACGATGCAATACTTTATATATTTTTATATATATATATATATATATATATATATATATATATGTATGTATCAGTAAGTGTGTGTTTGAGAGAAACATGATGCTTTAATGTTCTGTAGGATCTTCTACCTTGCTATTTTAGAGCAGATTTTTAGTTTTGAAGTGGCCATCCCCCTCATCTGACCCTCGCTCATCTTACCTCATTTTTAACCTGTTATATACGTTTATAATTGACGTGTGCATGTGTGCTTCTCGTGTGGGTGTACAGTGATGTATAATGGAAAATAGCAGTTTGTGAAGGACTGATACACTAAGACTGCCTTGCTAGCATGCAAACTTTTTGCTATATAAAAACTGTATTGTATTGGCACATTGCGTTCAGTTTGGGCTATGGAACCTCATAGTTTGGTCCTATCGTTGTTTGCTTGTGTACGACAAACTCAGAAACAGCAAACAGCATACTGTCCGAGGTCATTATGTATGATTCATTTTAATCAGGACCCTTGTCTTGAGAAATCGATATATTTACTGTTTTAAATCATGCCGTTTCCTTTCCCTGTGATCACAGTGTTTTAAATGCAGCTTTAGATTGAGTTATGTTGGCTATTACGAGTTAAGTCTCCTAAAGTAGTCCGAGACTTTTTTTGCCCTTGTCTTTTTCTTTTTTTATTATTAGTTATTGTCTATCCCTGCTGCTGTGTTCTTTATGGAATCCCATTTCTGCTACATAAGAGAAAAAAAAACATGCTTTGGTAAATAATTATTAGATAAAACGTCAGTATTATTAGATACTAAGTCAATATGAGATAAAACATCAAAAGTATGACATACTAAGTATGACATGCATAATTATGAGATTAAAAAGTAGACAATGGAGCATAAACGTCATAATGATGTAAAGATCATAACAGAGATAGTCTAAATTAAAATTATGAAAAAAGTACATTTTTAAATTGAGAATTTAAAAAAAAACGTTTATCCCATAATTATGACTTATGAAGTATGTCATAAAAATTCATAAAAGTAAAAATTGTCCCAAAAAATGGATAAAGTCCTAATTATGACTTTTCTTCATAATTTTGACTTCTCGTAATGATGACTTAGTATGTCATGATTTTGACTTCATAATTTCTCATGATAGCGTCTTACAATGAAGACTTATCTCATTAGTATTTAACAATTTTGACTATATATATATATATATATATATATATAAATTGGCTTCCATTGTGCTCAATTTACAGAAATACAGCCCTAGTGCCTCCCGTTCAGTCATTTTCATGATTACCTGACTGTTAAAGTTGATATCACGATGCTTTGTAACACTATTTGTTTCTCTGGTTGCTTATCAACTCATTAACATGCACAATCCCTTATAAACAATTAAAAGAGATGAGGATTCTGCCGCCTTAATCACACGAGTGCCTCTTCATAGGTTAACCTCACTCCGTGTCGCTGAGCCAACTGGTCACCTAGCATATTCAGGCATCTGTACCATCAGACCTGGGGTAATGAATTAACAGTAATGCCTTTAATAACAGCCAGAGAGCACTGCCCTTAATTTTAAGCATATTCTATTCTGCCACCTGGATGTAATAGGGTGCTATTACATGTAACTAGGCTGCAGGGAACAAAGAGTGTCCAATTCTACTGTTGTTTGAATGCTTTTATCTGTACTAAGATGTTTATCCAAACACATGGTCTTTTTACGCAATATCAGACACTTTAAAAAAATAAGGCAGCATATAAACAAGGGACTAAGATGTACTGTTGTTGCTCAATGTATGTAACTTGAACTTTTTCAACATTAACACAATGACAGTTAACACAATGTCAGTCCAAAATGTATATAGGCCTGTCAGAATGCACTAAAAGACATTTTGGGGTCATTTTCCAGTTCGGTGTCTCAGAGATTGTCAGCTACTCTTTTAAATAGCTTATCAAGGTTACCACTTAACCGATATCTTACAAATGACTCCTGGTTTAAGTGTTGACCCTGGCTTTTCTGTTATATTATCTGCTGGCACTGTAGACGTTCAGCCAAACCCAAATAGAGGATTGTTGATCTGAAATGAGCAGAATGGAGAATTTTTAGCTTCACTGGCACTTTTTCTAAGATTTCATTTTTTCATTGTACGCTGCCAGGACTATAGAAATGACCGATTACAATAAATCTTGTGTTGTAAGACAGAAAAGTACAAATTCTTTTGTAGACTTCCTTTTTTCGTTCTAGTTTGTGTTCTTCTAACACTTTGTACTCAAATATTTGTAGGTATTTTTATTTGTATAGATTAATAAGAATGCCTGTTTGATTTCCCCCTTTTTCTGATAATCACTTTAAAGTTGTACCAGATTTCTGATGGACTTAATGATCCATAATTCCAACATGATGCACAATTAATTTATTATGGAATTAGTTAATGCAAGGCAAATTCAATGCAGTTTCCCTGAGATAGATTTGAATTGATTGAAGTCATTTTGAATAGGATGATCTTAGGCCAGAGAAAAAAGGATATTGTGGGAAAAAGTTGTTTTAAGTGTATGTCTTTTATGGGAAATAACCTCACTCCAAGTTGGACTGATAGTTTTTGGAATTGTCCTTGTTATGTACATATGTGTACCATATATATTTACTATTTTTCATGCATGCTGAAGTGAAATACTCTGAACACAGTGCTGCAGTTTTGATTAAACAAAAAAACAAAAAACAAATGTTTCTAGTTTTATTTAGGCACCATTAAAGACTGTACATACTTAAAATGTTTTATGTAATTATATAGTTTGATTGGTTGATTCTTGTAAACTTTGATTTGGAGATTGATTGGTCCACTAAACTAAACTCATGAAATCTTTTTGAGTCTTTTATATTATAAAGGACAGGGTTTTTTTTTTGTGATATACCAAATGTTTGGAAGTGTGACTTATATGTTAACCGTAATATATATGATTGAAAACTTTATGGAAAAAATATTTATTTTTTATATTCAATGCTAAACCGGTTTAATACAAAACAACATTTTCTATAAATATACAACACTTTGAATATCAATAATATAAAATAACTCACAATAGTAATAATATACCTATACAAGTAAAATTTTTTATTTAAAAATAAAGTAAATATACATAACTTCATTAAAAAAAGAAATGTAATAAGTAATGTTTCTTATACACACCAAACGTAATGGTCTTATATTATAAAATGTACATAAAATATGATTTAAATATCAGTAATATAAAAGTAGTAGTAATAGTATACATATATAATGTTAATATGCATAAAAATAATTGAAAATTAAAAGTAAATACATAACTATATTAAAATAAAAAATAGATGTATTAACATGATGTGTTAACAAGTAATGTTTCTTATACCAAACACTATAATAGTCTTATAGCAATAATGTACATATAGAAAGATAATATTTAATTGATAACAATATTTATTAAAAAAATAAATAAATAAATACATATATAACATACATAACAGTATCAAAAACAGGATCATAGCTATATTAAACTATTTCTTGTTATGATATTAAATCTGTATTTAACCTCAGTATGATCTCAAAGTAAAAGGAGGTGTCACACCCCAGGACTGTTTGTTGTGTTTTCTTTCCTCATGTGCTCCGTGACCTAATTTTCCTCATGTCTGATTGTGTCATTCAGTTCACCTGTATCTTGTTAATTATCCTCGTTTGCCTGTGTATTTAGTTCTAGTCTGTTCTGTGTTCCCTCGTCCAGTGTTAAAGTTGAGTTGTGCGTGTGTTACCTGCCTGCCTTCTGTGGATACCTTTTCAGACCAATATGGGTGGGGAACAGGTGAGTTTCTGTCTTACTATATCTATAATTAACCATATAGACGTTTTAACAAAGCAACCCTACTACAGTGTCAGTGAAATTCACAATAAGTGCTGTAAAGTTGTTAACATGATTGATTAGTTCAAAAATAGTGACATGGCTAAACGTGTTGGTCTGCTGTATTCCCTGAAAAGGTAAACGGGTGTTTCGGGTCTCGGGAGACTAGCGTTAATTGACCAACAGCCCCATCTGCTGTTTTTGGAAATGAAAGTTGCTCAATTGCATTTGTGAGAAAATCTGCCTGCATGCATTTGTGAGAAAATGAAGCCAAGTTTCCTCATAAAAAGGCAAATGAGTCTCACAGTTGTAACACACACAATACATATATTTGTCCATACCTCAGCATTTTCTCTCAAATAGAGTTCTGTATTTGCAAATCACTTTGCGTTTGATTGGAAGTAGAGTTTTTCTTTGCAAAGCAGATTGTTTATTTACAAAACGCTGATGAACCTGTGGTGGTTTCTGCGGTGGGGAAGAAACGTAAGCTATTAATAAGATTAGTACTGACCAAGTGCAGAGGCTGTCATATGTGGATCAACTTACTTTGTTGTGTATTTTCAATGTGTATTTTCGTGTTTCAATATGAAAAATTACTTCTATATTGATTCAAATGATTTATTGCGTTTTGGGGAAAAATAATCAGTTTTTATAATAACTTTGAAAATCAAAATCTGGATTTGAATTTTTTGTTATTATAACCTAAAAATGCTATGTGAAAGTTTGAAACAGAAAATAGTGGTTTTCTTGCCACTTTCTTGTTAAAGGAAACAAATTTTTACTCAAATTAATCAAAATGGATTTATAGCGTTTTGGAACCAAACTCTT